GCAATTTTATGTATATATATGCAGCTATATGTATATATCTATATATGTCTATGTATATATATATATATATATATATATATATATATATATATATATATATATATATATATATATATATATATATATATATATATATATATATATATATATATATATATAATATATATATATATATATATATATATATATATATATATATATATATGTGTGTGTGTGTGTGTGTGTGTGTGTGTGTGTAAAATATACATATATATACGCAGGCATTAAGTCTAAAGAAGATATGATCATTGGTTACCTTCCATTCCTCGGCGGACTTCCCGAAAGTCCAATAAGTGGACACACAATTGCCGTCTGGGTCTTCACTGGAAGCGACAGCAACGAAGTTACCCACAACACCTGGCAAAGTGACCTGTTTGTATGAAATTAAACACATAGAACATGAGTGAAGAGCCGATGGAGGTGACACAGTGATCTCTAAGTGGAAGGTTCCTGATTAGGTTCAAGGTGAATCGTCCGATCGCGTTCCGTGATATCGCCTCGGATTAGACTCTATACACATTGGTAGGTAAAATGTATGTATCGAGAATGTGGAGTGGAATGTGCACTAACCATTATTCGCTGTTGGTTCAGCTGTCTACGTCTAGATATACAATTAACCGCATACCCTAAGCGCACACCGTACATCCATTGCAATATCTACACATATATCTCTATACCGGAGTAGAAACAATGATCAGTAAGAAATAGAATCATCAATCAGTAACAATTAGGAACAAGAATCAGGAATAATTAAAAACATCAATCAGCAATAATCAGGAAAAATTATTAGTTATAATAAGAAGTAATATTAAGATACTACAGACCTCTTCGTACCGCTCCCTTAACGCACAGAACGTCGCATAACCCTACCTTGCACACAGGCTGGCTAGGACCCTTCGATGTACACGTGACCGTTTCACCCACTTGTTCGCCCATGCCCGACAGACAGCCCTTAGGGGCCGTGGCTGTCAACGGAATGGATCGGTTGTGGCTATAGACTGTCACGGTCACCTCTTGCTCTATTGAGGCTCCGGCGACGTCTGGAGAGAAGAACGAAAGGCATGAGTGTTAAGCTCATTTACTGGCGAACGTACTGAACTTATAGTTTTGTGTGATTGACCACCCACACGTGTGCATTCAACGGCGTCGCGCAACACAAGCACGCAGTTCGTTTGCTTTGTTCGCGCATACATTGGCTTTGACAATGAGTCCCACTCCATTTTGACCATAACATTGATATCAATATAGAATGCCACGACTGCAACATACAAGCACACCATTTGTTTGCTTCGTTTGCGCCTGCATGTGACTCTGACTACAAGTTCCACCCCATCGTACCCATACCTTTGATATCAATATAGAATGCCACGAGGTCTCCTGGTAGCACCTGCTGGGCTGTGGCAGTCATTGACATCGTGTAATCGGTGAACCCGTACAGTGCTGATGCCGTCTCCGTCAGAAGCTCGCCAGTGGGGCCCTGTATACAAGAAAAATCGCACAATATATGGTCAGTGAGTGTGTGGGTGAGCATTACTACACTAACACACTATTAGACACCAGACAAACTTAATGTGTATGTAGGCCATGGGCTCCAGTTTGACGATCATCGTATACTCGAGATCAACTGGTATAGCGCTCGTGCGGGCGTTTTCATATACTGAGCCTATGAAGGTGTACTGGTTTTCAATTGCTATCTCGAGCATATTCTACAAAAGATCGGGCGAAAGCCAAAGGTTTGAGTAGGATTCGTAAGGGGTTTCGTAATTCACACCGCGCAGACTGGAGCGATCCGTGTGACAAGACACTAACAAAGAGATATAGTCATCACGAGATCATACGTTCTTCTGGCGTACCCAATGACGTCACATATGGAATAGGACGCTTAAACCGTTTCCTCGCAAGAGAAGACTCACCCACAAATACGCGCGCACACCATTTTGTACACACACAGACGCACCTGTACACGCACACGGCTCACGCACATACACCTATACAGAGCACAAGCGTATCCTTAACGAGCGCAACCCCTTCCCCCGCACGTACCATCCAAGTGGCCGTGATGAACACTCGGCTATCTGCCTCCACGTCCTGAGTGTCTAACTCAACCTCAACGCTACCGTCTTCACCTGTCTTGGCTATGGTTTGCCCCGTCAAAGGCTTCTTCTGTACCTCGCTATCAAAAGGAACAATGCTGACGACATCCTGAATGGCCATGATATGTAGTGTGAAAAAAAAAGGTGGGTAGTCTTTCATGTATCGCAGAATGGGTACAGATTGAGTACAGCTTAATACTGCTATAGGTAAATATAAATATAAATTTATATTTATATAA